AAAAAACAATGCAATTCAGCATAATTCTAGGAAAAAAATATGCATTTCTTCAAGGTGCAAAAAACAATCAAAGTAGACTTAATGTATACAAAAAATAGCTGGTCTGGATAATGATAAGAGTTCATTTGTCAACTAAGAAGTAATTTTAAGGTCTACTGATATAAAGTAAATTTCTTCCACTTAGTATTTAAAAAGTTATCATGTGTAACAATTGACCCAATTTGACCTCATTTGGTAAATTACTTATAAATTGAGTAAAGAAATCATCTTCTAAAACAAACTTACCAAAGTATCCAATCAAATCTCCACTAGAATACTATTCAAATTTCTATTTAACAAACTCAGATTTCATAAATTATAAGTGCTTAGTTACACCTGTATTTCATATGTCAATTATTGATGAATGTATTAACAATACAAATATGAACAGTTTCTTTCCTGTAAGAATAGGTGAAAGGTTTTAGAGAAATGTCTACCAATACCAATTCCTCACAGAGGAGACCTTGTTCTTACATATAAGAAGGCCTTGTATGTAAGATTCACATGTACTCAATGAAATTAAGGCAAATATTTACCATCTGGAAAAAAAGAGTACAATGTGAAGTATGTTATTACAAAGTATCTCAGGTGAAGTAATAGCTATTGGAATAAAAACTGACATATAAAGTATGTTATCAGAAGAGCACCTAATTTTCTGAAAGGATGCCTAATTTTCTTACCAGACGTGTTTTGTTAATATATTAGGATCAGTCACTGGTATTAGTCCAAATCAGACTACAGAGTAGAAGTATGATTGACTCACTCCATTCTATACCTTAGTTCTCATGCCTCACACACACACACATACCAATAGCACAACCTTAATGTACATCAGCTTTATTCTATATGTTGATATTAATATTATTAATTTACTAATTTTAAAAATAGAGAGTGCTTCGATTGTAGGACAGCTGTTATTTATATGTTAACCAACTGCTAGAGTTTGTGGTAAGCATTTTAATATCCATTTTCTAGCTATTTTTTACACAAAGTTGGGGATTTTTTTACTAATTTTAGAAAGGAAGCTATGAACAAGGGAGCTTAACTGTTTCATTAGTTTCTGCTATATTGGGCAGCTTTAAATTATTTTCCTGACCTTTTCACTACTCCATGCTGCACAGAAATATCGTTGTTTTAATAGATGGCCTCAAAATTTGTGCCTCTTATAATTATTTGGATCTATATATGATAATACAAGCCAAAATTTGCCTAACGTGCAGCTGTAAAGTTATATATTTCTTAGTTTAAATGCGACCCAGTTACTAGGATAATACCAGGACCCCATTGATGGCTACATTAAAATAGCCTTCTTAATGCTGTATTGTGCTAATTAGATGATTAAACTAATTTTGCCAAATTGAGAAAACATCACATGAGTTTCATTGATTTATATTCTACATTTTCCCAAAACTATGCAACAGATCTCATTGCTTACTTGATCTTAAAAATTTTCATTCCCTATCAATAGAAGAATGCTACTTAAATAGTCCAAATTGTTGCTACTATTTACATAAGGATTTGGGCATTAATGTATGATGCTTAAATAACTTCTCTAATGTAAGATTCTTAAGCAGGGCTCCATTAATTCTGTGGGTTTGTCTACAGAATTTTGTGTGTAGGAAATTTATGTAGCATTAATTATATTGTAGGCATTGTTGAAAAGTTTTCAACATACTATAAATACTAAATGACTTGATTTTAAAGCAACTGGGACAATGAAGTAATTTTAAGAATATATCTGAATCTATTCTGTATCTTTGTCTATAAATTGATTGTGCTGAGTGTTAAACTGTACACTTGGTAGGATGTCAACAGTGGGGTTTATGTGCTTTGTTCAGTATTTGGACTTCCAAAGAAAAAGTCCCAAAATACTAAAAACTTATGCAACCTGGACTTAGCACAAAGTCTAATGTTTTCTTTTTTAGAAGGTGGGAATGAAGGGAGGGGTAAATTTCCAGCCAGCAAGCAGGCATGATTACCATTCTCTGGTTTGATTCTATTATTGGCTGAATATAGATTGATGTACTTGTCTCCACTGTACCAATGTATAATGCATGAACACGATTACTAGGGTAATTTAAAAACAGGATGCCTTTAATCTTCTGCTCAGGTCAATCAATTACAATACATAGGTTATAGAATGTCCTATGATCTTACACTGAGTCCTTAATAGAACCAATCTTAGAGTTAAATGAGGTTGGGAAAAATGTGAAGCCCACAGAGATTACTAATATGAACACAGACAATGGAACTTTAACCATCACATGTTTAATTACCCAGAACAAACAAACAGAAACCTCTCTGAAGGTTGTAGAGAAAGGAAGAATATTTCAGGGAGCAAAAAGCCACTTTTTCCTGTTGAAAAAGAACTTTTTTCCACCCTTAAGAGGAATTCAAGGGTTTAGAGACACAATAAATTTAGTATCAAACTCATAACTAGAGACATTATGCATTGTTACCTTCTGCATGTCAATGTATCTTGTTAGATGGCAGATAAATGCTGTTTCAAACTACATTTAGAAATGTCTATTTCCCTTTAAAGCAATATTCATTACTGAATTTACATGTGATTTTAAAAAAATTTTCCATAAGACTTTGCCATAACTTACTACTGTGTCATTATGTCTTTATAATATACATGAAATCTTAATTACAATCCATACAATTAGTTTATTCAGTTTTCTCTGGAGTCCTTGATGAATTTTGAGAGGAATGCATTTGAGCTTGGATTTAGTTAAAAAGCTAAGTAGAAAAAGAAGGTGTTTCAGACTTAGGATGTAAATAGCATTCCGTGTTTCTGTGGGTATCTGGCGAAGACAAGCACTACTTGTGAATATATCAGGGCCACTTGCCTGAGTTTGCAGTTCTATTGTTTGTGGCTGGATGTAGGCAGAGAGCAGTTGCTAACGGCAGAGTCAGATTCAGCACCATGGATAGCTCCACACGTTTAGCACCTGGGAGAGAAACTCTCATTTCCAAGCCCAGCTGCAGCTAGGGAACAGAATGACAGAATGATCTACTTACACTGAAAAAAGGCAAAAAATAAAGCCATACACTGGGGGAGCGTGCCTTTTTATATTCTGAGAGATGGAACTGTACAGACTGAAGAAAGCTCAAGCTACCATAAAAGCCTAAGGGTTGTCATAAATTGCTTCCTTTTAAGTAAAGCTAATTAACCAGAAAATTCAACATTCCCAGGCTATGTCTGGCGTTTCTGATTCATTTTCATTACTATGATGTGAAAGTGTAAGAATTTCTTAGGTTCTTGTGTTTGGATTTTTTTTTTCTTGGCTTGTGTTTTCTGGAATGCAAAACGAAGTTGTCATGTTTATTTCCTCACAATTTATTACTGTACACATAATTCACCTTCCTGATTTAACCCTCCCTCTTGTCCCTTCTCAGTTCCATCCTCATTTGTTTTACTTGAGGTTGTAGCAGAAAATAGGAGCACGACTCACTCAAGGCATAGGCAAAGCAGGTTAATGAGCTGCAAGAACCCACCCCCTCTCCCAACTCTATCATGCATCCCCATGCTTTGATAAAAAGCTCTGAATCCTTATTATTGCCAACTGGAAACAAGCTATTTGTTGGTATTCCTCTTTCCGTAGGTTGTAGTGGTGGTAGATTCCATTTAGAGAAAGGGGTGTGGAGAGGGGCTGACTCTTAGGTTAAAGAGAGAGATAACATGAATGAAGGGAAGAAACAAGAAAAACTAGAAAAGCAACTTGGAAAACACTCTCTCCTGGCATGGCTTGTCACATTTGATTTCCTAATTCTCTACGAGGACTATTTGGATGGAAGTGCATGTATACCATGCGATTCCGCATCGGCAGGCTCCAGGGAGCTAGAACAAGAGGACTCTATTCTTTGACCCCTGTCCCATCCTAAACCAGACCATTCCTTTGAAACAGAGGAACGTTGCAGAAGATGTGCCCAGTGTGTTCCGGGAATGAGTGGCATGGGAGGTCACAACACGGCTAGTAACTGTTAGCCCCACCCATCTTTTGTTCCTTCCCCCTACGCGCCCAGCCTTGCCCATTTCAAACTCTTTTCCCGTTTGTACCAGTTGCTCGCACAGTCTTCGGCCTTTTATGTTTCTCGCAGCCTTCAGTGCCTAGGGACCCAATCACCCCCCAGCCTTGCAACTCCTCAGGGGTTCAAGCATTGAAACTGGGCACGCTCAGCGGCTGCACCACCAGCCTCGAGTCTTGGGAAAGAACCGCTCAGCACTCCTCAACACTCCTGGGTCAACTCAGCCCGGGATTCGGCGCCCACCTCCGCTGAGCCCAGGGGTCAGAGCTGCACCCTGAGACCAAACCTCTGTCCTCAAACTCCTGAACGCCACCAGAGCTTGGAAATAGTCCTCAATGAGAGACTATTTTTCCACCTGTCTTTTCTTTGCAGCTAAGGGTGTTTTAGCTACTGCGGCGTGAGGAGCTCAGGGATGAAGCTCTGTGGCTGGTGGCCGTGGAGATCACCTTCCCAGAGTAGCTGTTTGTCACTGAGTTTTGGAGATTTCTTGGCTGGCTTTCTCTAAAAGCGCGCTTGAGTAATCCGAGCTGTGGCGGCGCCCCAGCTCTCAGGATAAAGGGAGGGAGTGAGGGAGTGAGTTTGTGTGTGTGTGTGTGTGTGTGTGTAAAGGGAGAGGGCGGGGATAAAAACGTCAACTA